GCAATTCATGATGCGCCCATACCATCTAACAAGACTGAACTGCAGTCTTTCTTGGGACTCCTTAACTTTTACGCCTCATTTTTGCCCCATGAGGCTTCCATTGCAGAACTTCTGCATAGACTTCTGGACAAACAATCCTCTTAGCATTGGGGACCTAAGGAAGCCTATGCTTTTAAAGCAGTCAAATCATTGCTCACATCCGATGCTGTCCTGATTCAATTCAACAAAATTTGCCTTTAGTCTTAGTAGTAGACGCCTCACCTTTTGGCATAGGAGCCGTTTTAAGTCACAGACTGCCCAATGGTTTTGAGGCACCTATTGCCTTTTTCTCCGGGACGTTATCTCCAGCAGAATGCAACTACAGTCAACTTGACAAAGAGGCTTTGGCTGCAGTTGCCTCGGTAAAAAAAGTTCCACAAATTTCTCTATGGGCACCACTTTGAGTTAATTACAGACCATAAGCCTCTTTTGGATCTTCTATCTGGCAACAGACAAACGCCTCAGTTTTTGTCTCCAAGAATGACCAGGTGGACATTATTTCTGGCTGCATATTCTTATACGCTGACACATCAAGCGGGGCAAACACATCAGCCAGGCAGATGCTCTCAGTCGCTGTCCTCTTCCTACTCCAGTGGAGAATCCTGTACCAACCAATGCTGTGTTCCTGATCAACGACCTCAAACTTCCCATCACTGCTTCTGATATCACTGCCCACTCTGCCAAGGACAAGGTAATTTCCCAAGTCCTTGACTGGGTGGGAAGGGGGTGGCCTAAAGCCCCTTATTCACCTGAATTCTTGCCGTTTAAAATCCGTTAGCAAGAATTGTCTTCCTTGCAGGGCTGCCTGCTTTGGGGAGCCAGGGTAGTTATTCCTCCCCAGTTACAGAGCCCAGTCTTGAAAGTTCTTCAAGAGGGTCATCCTGGCCTTGTGAGGATGAAGGCTTTAGCTCGCAGTTATATGTGGTGGCCTGGCATGGATGCTCAGATCACCAGCTGCGTAAACGCTTGCCAGCCATGCCAGGTCACCAGAACATCTCTACCCGCAGCCACTCCAGGAAGATGGGGAACATGCATGGTCCAGGCTGCATATTGGTTTGGCTGGCCCTTTCCATGGGCAAACATTTCTGGTGGTGGTTGACTCCTTTTCATAATGGGTTGAACTAGCCTTAATGCCCACCACAACTTCTGAAGCTGTCTCTAAGGTCCTGCTGCAAATGTTTGCTACCCATGGTCTTCCTGACACCATCGTGTCAGATAATGGCCCGCAGTTCACATCCTGTGAATTCGAGGTTTTCCTGGTTAACCAGGAAATCAGGCATGCCCTAACAGCCCTTTTCCACCCAGCCAGTAATGGTATGGCTGAGAGAGCAACTAGGTCTGCCAAAGATGCCCTGGAAAGGCTGGGGCCTGCAGATTGGCACTCCAGACTTGCTAAGTACCTTCTAATCCAGCACATGACCCCCTGTGCCACCACAAAGAGGTCCCCAGCTGAACTCCTTATGGGCCGCTCTCTGAGGACCACCTTAGACAGACTCCATCCAAATTATGCCCCAGTCACACCTCTAGGCTCCAATAGCCAGGCTAGGAATTTTGCTGAAAACGACCAGGTTTATGCTAGAAACTATGCTGGACATCCTTTGTGGATGCCAGGTCAAATTGTGGCAGTAACCAGCCCTAACTCTTATAGGGTCCAGTTGCAAGACGGTCACATTTGGCGCCGCCATGTTGATCAGTTAAGGGGGCCTTGGAGTACTTCCATAGGTGGCCCTCTGGATGTTTTTGCTGCAACCAGACAACTGGCGCCCGAAGAAGCCCACCGTGGACCCGACAGTGATGTGAATCGACCTAGGCAGTCGACAATTCTGCACCCCGAACCATCTGAAGCTGAGACACCTGCTCCATCATCGCCAGAGACTTTCCGCCAAGCAGAGGAGTCCCATTCTGCAGCAGCACTGCCGGAGCCGAGAAGATCTGGCCGACTGCGCAAGTGCCCGAGTTATTTGAAGGACTACTCATGCTCCATTCGGGGAGAAAGGATTATTCCGTTCTGAGAGGACTGAGCTGAAGTTTTCACTCCAGTCCCTGCTTCCAGCGGGAACGCGGACCGCTCCTATTGGCTGACGCCATTTGACAGCTGACTATAAAAGGGAGCTGTCAAATGGCATCAGCTGTTGCCTGCCAGCTGGCTACCCTGTTAGCGCAGCAGTCGTGGCAACCCTTTATTGTTAAAATAAAGTTACAGCTGAAGTTGCTTTCATGTTGCCTCTATCATTCTGCCTCGCACACTACAGTAGACCACAACCTACTTCTTGGTAAGCTAGAAAAATGTGGAATAGACAGCATCACCAATAGATAGATTTGTAACTGGCTGACCATATTCTCAATGAATAGTCCTTAATGGTACCACATCCACATGGAGGGAAGTAAGCAGTCGGATATCACAAGGTTCTGCCTTAAGCCCAGTAATCTTCAATATCTTCATAAATGACTTAGATGAGGCTATAGAAGAACTCATCAACTGGCAGGAATAGCCAACACCCCAGAAGACAAGTTCAAGATCCAAAAAGATCCTGACAGACCTGAAAAATAGGCCATATCCAACAAAATGAAATTGAATGTGGAGAAAAGTAAACTTTTACACCTGGGCAGAAAAAAACTAAACCTGCAAGTAGAAATTAGGCGAAACCTGGCTCCAAAACAGTAACTGTGAGAGGGACCTTGGAATCTTATTGGACGATCCCTTAAACATGAGACAGTAGCGTGCAGCAGCAGCCAAAAAAGCTAATACAATCCTTGGTTATAGAAACAGAAGCATAGAATCAAAATTACATGATGTATTAGTACCACTTTATAAAGCCTTGGTAACACCATACCTGGAATACTACATCCAGTTTTAATCACCACATTACAAAGACGAAGTTGAGACTTTGGAAAAAGGTGCAAAGAACAGCAACTAAGGTGATTAAAAGCCTGGAGACTAAAAAATATGGAGAATTGTTGGAGCATTTGGGTTTGGCTAGACTAGAGAAAACAAAAACAAGATAGCAATATTCCAGTACTTGAGAGTCTGCCAGGAAGAAGAGGGGATCAATTTATTTTCCAAAGCACCAGAGGGCAGGACAAGAAAGAATGGATGGAAACTAATCAAGGAGAGAAGCAACCTGGAATTCAGGAGAAACTTCCTAACAGTGAGGACAATTCACCAATAGAATAGCATGTCTTTAGACATTGTGGATGCTTCATCACTGGAGGATTTTAAGAATATGTTTTTCCTGCCTCAGTATAAAATCTTGCTTTTCTCCACAATATATTTCATATTGTTGGATAGGGCCCATTGTTCAAGTCTCTCAAGATCTTTTTGGATCCTAAGCTGGTCTTCTGAGGGTGTTGCTATTCCTGCCACCTTAGTGTCATCTGCAAATCTGATGAGTTCCCCTTCTATTCCCTCATCTAAGTCATGCATGAAGATACTGAAGAGTCTTGGGCCTAAGACAGAACCCTATGGCACATCACTGCTTACCTCCCTTCGTGTAGATGTAGTAGCATTAAGGACTACTTGTTTAGTATGGTTTGTCAGCCAGCTAGAAATCCATCTGTTGATGATGCTGTTTTTCCCACATTTTTCTAGCTTGTCAAAGATAGGTTGTAATCTACTTTATCGTATGCTTTGCTGAAGTCTACATATACTATGTCCACAGCATTTCTCTGGTCGTCTAATTTAGTCACCTTGTCAAAGAATGAAATAAGTTTTGCATGATCTGTTTTTAACAAATCCATGATGGCTTTTAATTAAAACTTTATTTGTTTCTGGACGTTCACAGATCTGCTTTATATTATTTTTTCCAGTATCTTCCTAGGTATTGTTAGACTGGTTGGCTTGTAATTTCCTGGGTGTGATTTTCTTTTTTTTAAAGATGGGAACTACATCAGCTCTTTTCCAATCCACAGGTAATACCCCAGCATATCCCAGGATTTTTGAAGGATATGGTACAATGGTTCTGAGATAATATCTGCCAGCTCCCTCAGAACTCTGATGTTCCAAGAATCAGGTCCTGGTGATTTATTTTCACTGAACTCATCAAATTTGAGATGACACCAAGCTGGCAGGAACATCAAACACCCCAGAAGATAGGGTTAAGATACAGAAGAATCTCAGCAGACTTGAACACTGGGCCCTATTTAACACAATGAAACTCAATGGAGGAAAAAAACCCCAAGGTTTTACACTTAAGCAAGAGAAACCAAATGTACAGATACAGAATAGGTTGAACATGGCAGTATCTATGAGGGAACACTGAATCCCAGTGGACAATCATTTAAATGTGAGCTAGCAGAGTGTTGCAGTGGCCAAAAAAGCCAATGCAATCTTAGGCTCTATTAACAGAGGGATACAGTCAAGATCAAGTGAAGTGCTAGTACCAATTTATAATGCTTTGGTAAGGCCACACTTGGAGTACTGCAACCAGTTTTGGTCACCAAGTATTAAAAAGATGTTGAGACTCCATAAAGAGCCTATAGAAGAGCAGCAAGGAGGATTAGGGGGCTGGAGGCTGAAATAAGTAAGAACAGTGGCAGGAACTGGGCATGGCTAGTCTAGTGAGGAGGAGAACTAGGGGAGATATGATAGCATTGTTCCAATAATTGAGGGGTTGCCACAAAGAAGAGGGGGTCAACCTATTCTCCAAAGCACCCAAAGGCAGGACAAATGGATGGAAACTAACGAAGGAGAGAAGCAACCTAGAACTAAGAAGAAATTTCCTGACACCCAGAACAAACCAGTGGGAACTGTTTGCCTTCAGAAGTTGTGGGTGCTCCATCACTGGAGGCTTTGAAAGAGAGACTGGACAGCCATTTCTCTGAAATGATCTTGGGTCTCCTGCTCGATCGGGGGGTTGGAATAGATGACCTCCAGGGATCCTTCCAACTACGTTCCTCTGCAACACTCCTCTAGTGATGGAGAAACAGCCTGAACTTAAAAGAGGTTTCTAAAATCTTCTCACCAGAAGGAAAATTGAAGCCACCGGTGGGCTTAAATTTGGGGAGGGAAGGAACCTGCAGCAGCAGCAGCAGCTGACACGCTTCAGCCCAGTTGCTTCTCTGCTTCCAGGCCGTGGAGGGAACCGAACAGCCCGACTTGCTCCCGGACTCTCCTCCCACCTGCTGCCCTCAACTCACCTGCCAGCTGCTGCTTCGACCCTGGGAAAAGCAGAAAAGGCGCTCTGTACACCACCTTCCTCCCATGAGTCATCCGGAAAAGGAAGTTCCTCTTCCTATCTTTTCTAGCAATACAGTACTTGATGGTTTTAACTCTTTAAACTCAACCACAGAGCACACCTACTGTATTGTCAGCTTTCTAGCAACAGATTTTGTCCTCTTGACTTCCATCTCCGGATAGGAAACGCTTGTCCCGTCTCTACCTAAGGCGTCTGCAAGGTCTTTTCACTGATTAAATGCTATCAAGATGTTTTGACTTCTAGCAACCGACCTTTGCAACTGAGCCAAGTGAAATAGTTAAATGTGAAGTGGTGGAATTCAATTTTTTTACTACAGGTTATGTGGGAGTGGCTTATTTGGTGGGCGTGGCTTCGTGGTTATGTGACTGAGTGGGTGTGGCTTGGTGGTCATGTGACTGGGTGGGCATGGCCAACTCAATGTCACTCACATCAAGGGGTGCCTCACCTGGCCCCTCCCCTCCATTCTTTGTCACCCAGCCTCAACTTACCTATAGTTCTGTAAAAATGTTGTTCACCTTTTTTGACTTTATTATCTGCATACTATAGATGTACTTTCATGGACCACTGAAAGGAGGAAATGGCCCGCGTGCTTTGCCCAAGAGTATGATAGGCAGCAGGCTTTTAAGGGGCAGCCAGAAAGAAGGAGGGGCAATGTATTTTCCAAAGAAGCAGAATGCAAACAAGAAGCAATGGATGGAAAGTGCTCAATCACTGGACGTTTTTAAGAAAAGACTGGACAGCCGTTTCTCTGAAATGGTATAGGGTTCACCCCAAGGTCCCTTTCTAAGTATTATTCTGACACCTTTCCCAGGATTTCTACTCAGAGTCTGGCATCCTCAGTTTTCTGGCCTGATCTGGAGGTTGGACCAGAAGACCTCCAAGATCCCTTTCAACTCTTGTTAAACACATGTGTATTTATGCTCTGGACTATTGACATTGAATGCATGTAAACCCTGAAAAATATGTGGTAGCCCTGGGCAAAAGAAAGGCAGAAAAATCACTCTGTGTGTAGGGACAGTGTAAAATATTAACACATGATAAATAGTGGAACAATTAAAAATAATAGCACAGAATTTTATCTCTCTTCCTATTTTTTATTTTTTTCTCTCCCTCCCTCTCTCTCCCTCTCTCTCTCTCTCTCTCTCTCACACACACACACACACACACACACACACACACACACACACACACAGCACTTAACAGACAAGCATTTTGGAAGTAGCTCCTTTAAATTTCTCCAAGGTTGGAGTGGATTCCCCCATTCCCTCTGTCTGCCCACACTCCTTCTCGCTCTAGGCACTTTAACTCACAAGCGGAAAGTGATACTTGCGGGCGACCATGGGGAATCCTTGGAGAAGTTTTTAAAGGACCTGCTTCCAAAATGCATTTCTTTTACATTACAAAAGTGCTCCAGGGATCGATTCACCCCCACCTCCTCGGGTCAGACCGCACTCTTTCTCATTTCCAGGCACTTTTAACTCATGAGGGGAAAGCGATACTTGAAGTGTCCGTGCCTTTCTTCCTTTCCCCCGGGGAGAAAGAGGACATGGGGAACGGAAAGCTAGGAGAGCGATCACAAGTGAGGAACCGGGTGACCGGGTTGGGGGCGTGGCCAACCAGGGGTCACCACCCATTCAGCGCCCCATGCCAAATAACCGCTACCGGTTCGCCCGAGTAGGTGCGAACCAGTTGAATACCACTTCTGAATGTGATGCTACCTAACCTTAAAAAGATTAGCTATCTGCTCAGCCCTAATACAATAAGAATAAGCTTTCTTGGGGGTGTTTCTCATTGGAGATCAAAGCCTCTCTACCCCTTTATGACTTATTTAATGTGGCTCCCAAGGATTTAGGACATGGCAAAACCATCAGGAGAGAAGCTCCAGGGGAGCCAGCTTCACTCCTGCTGGCCAGGGCTGCCTCCAAGAGCTCATAGCATGAAGTTTGATTCCTGAAGGAGGAAATTGCATGACAACTGCTAAATGTTAAATGTCATGTGTAAATTCTGTAAATTTACTTGCAGGGAGGTCTCCATTAGGTCACAGATAGAGGATAGAGGAAATTATACAGCAGGGCCTAGAAAACGGGGACTAAGAAAGGGGACAATTGTCAATATATAGTAGAAGAAATATTTGGAATGGAATGGAATGGAGTAACAGGGTTGGAAGGTATTCTAGACCTTGGAGGTCTTCTAGTCCAACCCCCAGCTTAAACAGCAAACCCTGCTAGGAAATGGTTGTCCAATCACTTCTTAAAAATGTCCAGTGTTGGAGCATACACAACTTCTGAAGGCAAGTTGTTCCACTGATTATTTGTTCTATCAGGAAATTTCTCCTTAGTTTCCTTCCTATATTAGCTTCTTTTCCTGCCTTTAGGTGCTTTGGAGAATAGCTTGACTCCCTCTTCTTTGTGGCAACCCCTGAGATATCAGCACACTGCTATCATGTCACCCCTGGTCCTTCTTTTCATTAAACTAGACCTACCCAATGTCATGCCCCCATCAGAGTCTGAATCTGAGGGGGAAGACGAACAGCTGACAGAGAGCAGGAGAATGGCTCCCCTTGGCTGTGGAGGAAACTGGGGAAGGGCAAAGTCAGGCTGGGCAGAGCAGGGAAGAGGTAGAACAAGGGAGAGAGGGTTCAGAGGAAGACCAAGGCCCATCCCCTCCTCATCCTAGGGCACGCAGGGAAGAACACAGAAGAGAGCAACATGGGTTGTGTGGTTTATGAGGAAGGAAAGGGCCCTGATTCCCTTCACAAGGCACACCTGGGGATGGAGTTTAAAGGAGAGGTGGTTGGGAGGGGCGTTTGGGAGGAACAAATGCTGAATTCATCTAGTGTTGTGAGTTTAGCCTGCATTCCTAGAATTCCTCATTTCTGTGTGAATTATTGCCATGCTGGAATTATTGGACTCGTTATCTTGCCCTTCTGGATTGATTGATTGCAGTCTTTCTGCTTACAGTATTTGGACTGGAGTATCTGCAGTCAGAGGCTGTTGTAGGTTCATGGGAGAGCTTTTCTTCAGGCCGGAGAGTAACTGGGACATTGGGGGCAAAGTTGGAGCAAATACGGATTCATACCTATTTTCTGGCTGTGTTGCCTTTGTGCCCCGCCCCAGGCCACAATACCCAATTCCAGCAACCCTTCTTTATGTTTTAGCCTCCATCCTGTGATCATCTCTGTTACTCTTCTCTGCACTCTTTCTAGAGTCTCAACATCTTTTTTACATTGTGGTGACCAAGACTGGATGCAGTATTCCAAGTGTGGCCTTACCAAGGCTTTATAAAGTGGTATTAACACTTCACGTGATCCTGATTCTATCCCTGATAATGCAGCCTAGAACTGCAGTGGATTTTTTGTCAGTGCCTGTCACACTGCTGGCTCATATTTAAATGATTGTCTACTACAGGCCTGTCAAACTGGCGGTGGGTGGGCCGGATGTGTCACGTGTAAGCCATGTTCACCACGACTCCACAAAGGCAAAAAATAGTCACAATGCATCATGATATGTCATGTGATGCAATCAAGTTTGATACCCGTAGTCTAAGATCCCTCTCACAGTTTCTAAATGTATTTTAAATGTATTTCTACAATGCATTTTTAAAGAAAGGAAAAAAAAAAGAATATCCCATCAAAGCACATGGCTGACTGATCATCAGGCTCACTTTATTACAAGGACATTACAATTTACAATTTACAACCACAGCTGAACCACAACTGAACTGAACAATTGAGGCCAAAATTTATGTTGCTCAGTGAGAAATCGATTAAGTAATTTTTGCCGCATTTTATGATTTCTTGCCATGTTTGTTAACTGAATCACTGAAGTTGTTAAATTAGTAACATGGTTGCTAAGTGAATCCGGATTCCTCATTGACTTTGCTCGTCAGAAGATCGGAAAAGGGGATCACATGACTCCAGGACACTGCAACTGTCATAAATGTGAGTCAACTGTCAAGCATCCGAATGTAAATCAGATGGCCATGGGGATGCTGCAAGGGTCAAAAGTGTGAAAAATGGTCTGAGTTGAGGACTATCTGTATTTTATTGATTCCCCTTTCATTCAGGAATCCAAGATGGCATACAAAGCATTTCCTGGGTAGCATGCTGTAATTTACAGGGTAAATGTCCCCCAGACAGCCTCCCTACCTACTGAGATACAGTTTTTGCCTCTCAATAATCCATAATGTCTCGCCTCTGCCAACTGCTTGCAGGACATGGCTAATTTGCTGCAGGGACAACTTTCTGTGAGAGTGGGTGTGTGGGCAGATTGTGTAGGCTTCATGGGCTGTTTATGGATGCGTAGGCTGGTGAGCAAACCGACTGGCAAAGGGCATGAAGTACGCAGGCACGTGAGTGGTAGATCAGATCGCAGGGGTGCTGGGCGGGTGAGCAAATTGGTGGGCAGAGTCCCCGTGTGTGCAGGCATGTGAGCAAGCAGGTGGGCAGAGCGTGCTGGGTTGGTGAGAGGATTGGCCACGTCACTATCCGCAGCAGCAGCTGGAGACATAGCCGCCCATATACCTGCTGGCCAGCTGGTGCTCAGATGGAGAATTAGTGAGAGTCATGGAAGGGCAGTTCTGATACAACATTGGTGATGCAGGCATTACCCCTATTGCCACCAATGTATTGGGCTCTGGCAAAGGGGGGGCAGGGTCAGCCACGGTGAGCAGGGTGATGCCACCTGTGAGATCAGGATTGTCGCATCAGAAGAAAGCAAACCAGCAAAATAGTAGGGCAAACAAGAAAAGAGATGCTTTGTGAGATAAATAAACAGAAGAGATAAGCAAGGGTAGAAGCATGCCAATTCCCCGTCAGCTTATTATAATTTCCACTTCAGATTGTGGCCAGCACTATTTCCTCTCTAGAACAATCACACACCACATAGTTCATTTTTGAGCTGGCAAAAATTTAGCTTGATGTAATTAATGAAAATGTGTAAAATATGATTTAACTAGCAAAATGGTCTATTTCAAAAACCCAGTTACTTCTTAAGGGGGATGGGGTGGGGTCTTTCGGTACTTCTTAAAGAAAAGACCTTTTGAAACTACTCTGTTAAAATGCTGTCCAACTATAAATTGGAGGGGCGTCAAGATATTTAAATTTATACTGTAACAGTGGAGGTTGTTTAAAGCAGGGGTCCCCAACCACCGGGCCGCGGACCGGTACGGTCCGTGGAACATTCCCTACTGGGCCGCCGGTTTCCTGGGCGCCGCCATCTTGTTTGACAAGGAAGTGCTTCCGGGTGAGCTTTTCCGGTTGGAAAGTGGCGTTTGCGTCCTGAAGGAATCCTCGTGCCTTAGTTTCATCGAAGGGAGGGCTTCGAACGAAACTAAGGCACAAGGATTCTTTCAACACCCAAGGCAAGGTGAGCTGAGTGACCGTCCCGAAGCCGTCCCGAAGCGAAGCCCATCAACAAAGGTACAAAGGAGGAGTTGAAGGTGGTGGGGAAAAGCGGGGGATGGCTGGCTGGCCGGTCGCTTGGCTCGCCTTGCCTTGTCATGTGTGCTGATGCCAGTACCGGGCCGTGGATCATTTTGTGATGCCGGTACCAGGCCGTGGCAAAAAAAAAGGTTGGGGACCACTGGTTTAAAGAGTCAGAACACACCGTTACAACTGATTGATTAAACAGAGCTGGGTTCTGCATGAGGCAATCTAAGCTGCGATTGGTTGCCTTGCGTGAAAAGGGGGAGTTTCCTTGTTTCCCGCCTTTTTGCCATCTGTGCTCTCATGGCTTTATCTGATCTTCCTGCTGTGTTGATTTTACCTCACCAGCTGCACAATTCCTTGACACAAATATCTTCCTTGTACCATCTCCCACTTTCTTATGCTCCTGTGAATTAGAGAGGTTTTTCTCTGAGTCTCTTCCATAAGAATTAGCTGTAATGTCTTCGACCAAATGGGATTATTCGCTTCATCACTGGAGGCTTTTAAGAAGAGACTGGACAATCACTTGTCTGAAATGGTATAAGGTTGGACTAAAAGACTTCCAAGGTCCTTTGCAGATCTATTCTATTCTGGATGATATTGACTCTGAGCTCTTGGTTTTTTTTCCAAAGTTTTTATTTTATTTTTTACACATTCTTCACGTGAGCAATGTCATTCCAGATTATAATATTTATACATAATCATAGTTACACTTTCAACTTAATTAATATCACTTCAAATTATTATCTATTCGACTGATCTTCAGATAAATTTCCCTTTCATATTTCAATTCATTAATTCAATATCAAAATCATTTCATCCTCACATATATTTTCAATTCTTTATCCACTATTATTTCCATTTTCAGCTTACCACCTATTTTATGTTACTTTATGTATTGTTATCATCTATAACTTTCTCAAGACCAATATATAATTAGACAGTCAATGAAAAAAAAACATAAGTAAAAGTAAAGTAAGATTAATACATTTAGGATCCACATGGTATATCCCCCCATCTACAATATATCTTATATCTATTCCTGAGATATTCATATAATCATTTCATATTTTTTCTTTGTTTCCAAAATTTACCTATATAATTCTAATAAATTTTCTTTCCCCTGCTTTTGATTATAATTCTTTCATTATAAATATTTTACATTCCCACAGTCCCTTCTAGTTCATTATATTTTCTATTTTCTCATATCCTTTGTATAATCAATTGTATTTTCTTTCATGAATACCACAGAGAAATAAAATAAAATAAAAAGTTAATTTCCCCTTTTACTTCCCTTTGACCAATTTCAACCTATAGCATTTTTATAACCCTAATTCACTTTTTAAACATAATACCAGATTTTCACCCAAGTCATCATATTCTCGGTTTTCCTAATATCATTTGAATAATCATTAGCATATTTTAGAATATGTGTGTGTGTGTGTGTGTGTAGGTCTAGGTGTGTTCGGGTCTTTTCCCATGTAAGATTAAAAGTATCTTGGCAACGTTTCAGTGAGGTCCCACTTGCCATCCTCAGGCTGGTACTTTCGGCTTCATGCCAGCGCAAGCAGTGTGTGATTGGAGCTGCCGTCTCTCTATAAATACTGGTGGTGGGGGCTGGTGTGCTGGGCTGGTTGGCTGTGCTGCTGCCTCTTGATTGGTTGATGGAGTTGATGTTGGTATAATGGGCTGTGTGATGGACTTGTGAGTTTTGTTGTGGAGATATCTTGGATCTTGTGCTGTAATCTCCTGGGTCATTTGTTTTGTAGTGATCTTTTTTCCATTAGCCTCTCATGTTTTAACGGCTTGGATAATAGGTTGTGTGATGGGCTTGCAAGTTCTTTTGTTGTGGTATCCTGGGTCCTGCATTGTAATATCCTGGGTCGTTTGTGTTTTGATCTCTTTTCCATTAGCCTCCTGTGTTCTAACAGCTTGGGTAATGGGTTGTGTGATGACTTTGTGAGATTTACTACTGTTGTATCCTTGGTCTTGTGCTGTGATATCCTGGGTCATTTGCTGTATTGCAACTTCTTGAGTTCTTGTGGTATAATTTCCTGAGTTTACTGATGTGATATCCTGAGCAGGTGGCCGTGATGTAGCATTCTGGGTTCTAGTCTGGCTTCGAGTTTGGGGTCTGGGTCTGTGTTCTTGGCGTGTGTCAGCTTGTTTGGTTTTGGGGTTGGGGTGTGTGACAGCTGACAAAGCAGCCATGGTCTGGTTTCTGGATGGTGGTTGTCCTTCGTTTATAGGATGGGCTTGGTCCTGGGTCTGATGAGGGGGATTGACGGTGGTGACGGCAGCTCCGATCACACACTACTTTCACTGGCATGAAGCTGAAAGCACCAGCCTGAGGATGGCAAGTGGGATCTCTCTGGTGTGGGTCCTTCCATGAACAACCAGGGAGCTCTTCTGACCAAAGCTTTTGCTGCATTTGCTGATATGGTTTTTCTCCAGTGTGGATCCCGCTGGGCATAGTCAGCTGTTTTTACCCTGGGAAGACCAGGAGAGCCTCCCTCCCTGCATCCCCCCTCTCAGCGGAGAGCCAGAAAGGGGAAAGTCTCCTGCTGTTGTTCTCCTCTCCTCCAAATCCTTTCTAGGAATTTACTGTTAAAATCTTTACCAACACTTTGCTGTACTCTATTCTACCATCGTCTATTGTGGCCGTTGCTTATCTCTAGTGCACCATTTAGTGACGTAAAGCTTCAAACTATGTTGTTCCATCTCTACCTAAGGCATGGAGGCTGTTTAGTGTTTCCTGTTCCTCTGTAAGAAATGTATCCCATTGGCTGCAGACTCCCAGGCGTGGGGGTCTTAGCTAACTTTGTAGGCTTTGTCTGGACCACATGGCTTCACCTGAGTGCTGGCTGATGCAATCTTCCCAGGCCAGGTGGTGAGAGAGGTAGAGGCCTTTGTTATGTAGAACACTCTGGCCCAGGTCTTAATGGCCCATCCATTGACAAAGGCAGTGGTGAGCTTCTGCTTCTGAGTTTCTACTTCTCTTTTAGGGGAAATATTCTGCCTTTTTAATATTTCCTTCGATATTTCATTTTTCTAGGAGAGGAGTGGGTGATAACTTCCTACAATCCCTGGGTTTTTTTTCCCCAAAACACATGTTTTGAGAAAGGATTAAAACGTGATCAGATCAGGGAAACTTGCTGGGTGCTTTTAATTTTTCTGATGCAAAGGGGGAAGCATTGATAAAGAGGCAATAGAAAAGGATTCCTTCAGTGGTTCCCAAAAGCTTTCAACCATGAATTTCTAGCAGCCTGGGAAAAGTTCTTGATTTTTTTTTACAGTATCCAACTTTTCATGCCAATTAATTTTCAGATATTTGATGTACTTTGTGAGCTTACAGTCAGGTTGTAAGGACAAGCCCCTTCATTCTTCACAGCCATGGTTTGCCTTTAAATTACAGGCTGCCCATTTCCAAGGTTATGGTTACTAACCTGCCCTAGCTCTTAGCTTCCAGGGTTTGTGAGGCCAAATTGAGGTTAGCCAGTGTGCAATCCAGGCTATTTAGTGTTTTTAAAATTACACACAATGAGCCCTGGGACTTCTACTCATGAGACCACCAGTGCAACATATCCTGCTTTACTGGGCAACTGGGCATCATCATTTGTGAGTCACTATCAGGGCTGCAGGGTTTGGAGTTCTCTTTTCTGTTATCACTCAAGTGAGGGAATTGCCTGAGGGGGATGCCCCCTCCCGCATGGGATTAGCAGGGATTAGAGATGGGGTGTGTATATAATAGTTTGCAGGCATGGTTTGAGGAGGAAGAAAAATAACTCATCAGTATTGCAGTTACTAAACAGATAAATCACTTTCAACAAAATGGAGACACAACAGATGAGAAAGGCTATCAGTTTGCAGACCAAAAGGTGTCTGGGAGAGACTCTGGTTCCCTTTACAAAGTATGTGCGCTCCCCTCCAAGGGAACTCTCCGGCCAGTTTTCAGACTGGGGAGGGGAAAACAATCTGTGAGGACTTACTATCCCCAAAAAAGACAGTCTGGGAGAACTTTCTGCCCTCCGCAGACAAGTACTGGCACTCCCCTTCTGGCTCAGGTTCTCAGATTTGGAAGAGTTCAAGTCCAAGAGGACTTGCTCCTCTTCAGCAGGCAAGTAGTGGCACTCCTCTTACTTCACAACTTCCTAATTACCTAAATTCACAATTACATGAAATCCTAAGGTTTGCTTTTGTGATAACACTGGGCAAAAAAAAAAAAAAATTGTTCCCTCCCTCCAATAATAACCTGCTTGGCTTTCTCCTTCTCTAACAAATGGTCCTGTGCTCTGGCAAACCCCCCCATGCTCTCCAGACTCTTGATCTTTCTGCGGTTAGGAAATGCACAGAGGAAGCAAGATCCAGTTGTGTTTATGAGAAGGGCCCTCTCACTCACACACATGGAGGCATACATACATTTCCCATACCTAAATTTAGAATTTAGAGGTACTCACCTTCCTTCCAAACAGCCTTTGAGCTCAACACTCAAAACCCCTTTAAAACCTTTTTCCCAAATGGTCAAGGTCCAGGAAAACTCACTCACAAACTCAATGGGTCTGCTTGCCAGCAAGGGAATCTTACCTGGCCTGGTCCATTGGTTAGGTTAGCTTGGAGTCCCATCTGGGGTGCCAAATTGTTGCAAGAATTATCCTCCTGGCTTCAGTTTCAAGTGGAGAAAAAGACACTGGAAACATGGAGGCTGTTTGGAAAGATGGTTTATCCTTAGTTATATATGTGTAAGAAATGTATCCCATTGGCTATCAGATTCCCAGGGGTGGGGGTCTTAGCTAACTTTGTAGGCTTTGTCTGGACCACATGGCTTCACCTGAGTGCTGGTTGATGCAATCTTCCTAGGCCAGTGGAGAGATGGGCAGAGGCCTTTGTTATGTAGAATACTCTGGCCTAGGCTTTAATGGCCCTCCCATTAACAAAGGTGGGAATGAGTTTCTGCTTCTGAGGTGAGTTTCTGCTTTTGAGTTTCTACTTCTCTTTCAGGGGAAATATTCTGCCTTTTTAATATTTCCTAGGATATTTTATTTTTCTAGGAGAGGGATGGGTGCTAATTTCCTACAATACAATAGCACCATCCAAAATTCCTTTTTGAGGAATTCCACCAGAAAAGGGCAGTTAGCCATTTTCCACTTTCCCTTTCTCTCCACCTATAATTTTAATCCTGAGAAAAGTTTGAATACAAAGAAACAAGCCAGAATTCAGTCAATTTCTCATCTACACTTTTGAATGTGAGATCACAAGTGAAATTCAATCCTTCTCTAAACTCTTCAACTTTTGTCTCATGTGGATTTCTTTGTGTGAGCTAAGGGATGATTTATGCTTGAAGTAAAGATCACAGACTGGACATTTGAAAGGTTTCCCCATAGTGTGAGTATTCTGATGTGTTAACAGGTAGGAATTCCGACTGAAACTTTTACCACAATCAGGACATTCAAAGGGTTTCTCTCCTGTATGACTCCTCTGGTGTATCACCAGGTAGGAATTCTGACTGAAACATTTCCCACATATAGGACATTCAAAGGGTTTCTCTCCTGTGTGTGTCCTCTGGTGTCTCATGCGGTGAGAGTTCTCACTAAAACCTTTTCCACAGTCAGGACATTCAAAGGGTTTCTCTCCTGTGTGAATTCTCTGGTGACTCACAAGGTTGGCATTCTGACTGAAACTTTTCCCACATATAGGACATTCGAAGGGTTTTTCTCCTGTATGAGTCCTCTGGTGTTTCATGAGGTGGGTATTTGTAATGAAACATTTCCCACAGTCAGGACATTCAAAGGGTTTCTCTCCGGTGTGAGTCCTCTGGTGTATTATCAGGTAGGAATTCTGACTAAAAGCTTTTCCACAGTCTGGACATTCAAATGGTTTCTCTCCTGTGTGAGTCCTCTGATGTTTCATGAGGTGGGAATTCTGACTGAAACTTTTCCCACAATCAGGACATTGAAACGGTTTCTCTCCTGTGTGAGTCCTCTGGTGTATTACCAGGCTGGAATTCTCAATGAAACTTTTCCCACAGATAGGACACTCAAAGGGTTTCTCTCCAGTGTGAGTCCTCTGGTGTATTATCAGGTAGGAATTCTGACTGAAATTTTTCCCACAGACAGGACATTCAATGGGTTTCTCTCCTGTGTGAGTTCTCTGGTGTCTGATGAGGTCAGAATTCTGACTAAAACCTTTTCTGCAGTCAGGACATTCAAAGGGTTTCTCTCCTGTGTGAGTACTCTGGTGTCTCATGAGGTGGGAATTCTGACCAAAGCCTTTTCCACAGAGAGGACATTCAAACATTTTGTCTCCTGTGTGAATCCTCTGGTGTATTACCAGGTAGGAATTCCGACTGAAACTTTTCCCACAGATAAGACATTCAAAGTGTTTCTCTCCTGTGTGGGTTCTCTGGTGACTCACAAGGTTGGCATTCTGACTGAAACTTTTCCCACAGACAGGACATTCAAAGGGTTTCTCTCCAGTGTGAGTCCTCTGGTGTATAATAAAGCGGGAATTTGTAATAAAACCTTTTCCACAATCTTGACATTTATAAGGTTTTTCCATGGAGTTAATCCTCTGATGTATTACCAGGCTGGAATTCTGATTGGAATTTCTCCGTCAGGACATCGAAAGGGTTTTTCTCGTTTGAGACTCCTCTGGTATATCACCAAATTGGAATTCCAACTGAAAGTTTTCCCACAATCAGGACATTCAAATAATTTTTCTCCTATGCGAGTCCTCTTGTGTATCATGAGGCTAGAATTCTGACTGAAACTTTTTCCCACAATCTAGACACTCATACAGTTTCTCCCTGGAGTCAACCCACTGATGCATCACCAGACTGGAATTGAGACTGAAACTTTTTCCGCTCAGGACATTCAAAGGTTTTCACACTCCTGTGTGAGTCCTCAGGTGCTTCACCAGGCTGGCATTCTCACTGAAACTTTTCCCACAGAAAGGATATTCAAATGTCTTGTGTGTGTGTGTGTGTCCTTTAGTGTCTCATGACCTGGGAATTTCTAATGAAACTTTTACACAATCTGCACAGTGATACATTTTCTCCCTGCTGTGAGTCTACTGAAGTATCACCATGTTGCCATGCTCACTAAAGCATTTACTACATTGGGAGCACTTTTATGGCTTCCCTCTTGTGTGGTTGCTTCCATGAACCACAAAGGAGGTGTTTTGACCAGTTTTTGCTAAATTGAGATAATTTGCATAGCTTTTTTCCTGTCTGGCTCCTCTTTTGCATAATCAGCTGTGATTTGCAATCTGTGCTTTTCCCATAATAGGCAAATCTATGGAGCTTTTCCACAGCTGATATTCTTGAGGTAAAAAATATGGACAATACTTTGTTTAGTGATGTTTTCATTCAAGCTGTTTTCTTCCTCACAGGTTGTGGCCTGCATTCCTGTCTGCTCTAATGTGGCTTTACTATTGACGGTTTCTGCCCAAGTGACTTCTAAATATTTCCCTCTTTTGCTGAATAAAAAATAATCTCCCTTGACTTCATGTAATGTATCCTTGAGTTGTGCATAATCTGCTTATTCAAGCTTGAAATCTTTCTTGATTTTATCTCTTTTGTCTAAGTTGTTTGAGGAGGATGAGAACTGTGTGTTATTATGAAGGAAATGGAAAATATTTTGATTTCTAGCTTGATCTTCTTCCTTTTTCAATGTTGCTTGCTATTTACAGTTGTCCCAGGTGCTCTTATTGTCATCCTCTTTGTCTGTAAGATTTAAAGAAAAATGTAACCTTAATTGTTTATAAAATGGTTAGAGATGATGTAAAAAAAAGAAAAAAGTATATATTACAATGAAAAAGCAAACATGCCCCAATGCTACCACGTTTTACTGAAAATAAGACCCACCCCAAAAATAAGCCCAAGCTTGATTTTTGCAGTGGGCCCAATATAAGCCCTACCCCAAAAATAAGCCTGGGGGTACGGATGTTGCCAGCATGAGAGGTGGCGAGCACATGGGGTGGGGGGGAGAGGAAGACAGTGTCCAGCTGCAGCTTAAACCTGCCAGCCCACTTGGGGCAGTGCAACAACTACTAATTCCAAGCATGGAGACATGTGTTGTGCCCCCTTTGTAGAAGCGGGGGAAGGCCTTTTCCAATCACAGTGTTGCAGCATATCACGGAATGGTGATATGAGAGAGAGGGGAGCGAGAACAAAGGCGTGGAGCTATGCATTAACCAGACGGGAGGTGGGAAAGTTTTCCTGGGTGCCACACACAGCTTTGTCCTCACTGGGTTCCACAGCTGAGGGACGACGGAACAACCCACACGCAGTTGGCAGCATGACTTTTTGCCTGTCTTTTTCTGGGTGCGGCACTTCCCCTTGTTGGGCTGCTTCCTAAAGCCAGCAGCTCCGCAGCCAGCTGCTTTGCTTTTTCCCTCTTTTTCCTCATGGGAGACTCACAGGAGGCTTGCGTGGTGGCACCAGCGGTAGGCAAAGGCAGAAACGTGGGGGAGGCACAGGCGATCCCGATGCGCTGCCCCACCATCTCTCAGCTTGACTGTGACTCTGCCGAACAAGCACCAGCATAGGGTGTCTAGATTGCCTGCCTACCTCATGCCTCTTCCTGCTGCCGTCGCTGCCATGCAAGCCTTCCGTGAGCCTCCCGTGAGACAGGCAGCTATACAGCATGTCAAGATCGCCTGTCTTCTCCCCTCCCCACACCTCTCACTCCATACTCAGAATTAAAGATATTTGCATTGTGCCAAGAAGGCCGAGACATGTGAGGGCTTGGCATGTTGCAGCCATGGGAAAGCAGACAGTGCGATGGAGAGGGTGGGGCCAGTGGTAGTGCTTAAAAAAAAAAAAGACCTCCCCCAAAATAAGCCTGAGTGTTTATTTTCAAGCCCCGCCCCCAAATATAAGACAGGGTCTTATTTTCTGGAAACATGGTAGAAAAGCCTCTTACGTTATTTATGATTCATTTGACACATGGAAGACTACTGAGATCCATATTCAAATAACCATTCAATCAAATTCAGTTGTTTAGTTGGGTCAATCACAAGTTCTTAGCAATGCAAAGGAGTATCATCAATTATATATTGAAGTGCTGGGATAGATTATATAATTCCAGACATATCCCTAAAGAGGGAAATGCAGATATACCTACCTACACGTGTATTCATGGAGAAAATCTATGTCTTTCAAAGTTGACAATATGTCCCAAAATGTTTACAGTCAAACCTTCTGAGCTAAATTTAGAGATGTGGGGACTTTAACTGATAAAATGTTGCCAAACGCCTCTGCAAGATTTGAAGCACCACTTTTAGAATAGAATACTTTATTGGCGGTGTGATTGGACACACAAGGAATTTGTCTTGGTGTAAATACTCTCAGTATACGTAAAGAAAAGGTACATTCGTTAAGAATCAAGAATCATAACGTAAAACACTCAATGATAGTCATAGGAAATCCTCAGCAGCAAATAAGAACAGATAAGACTGTCCACAAGTACTCTGGTGACATCCCCACTCAACTAGTCCTCACTTAACCTACTGCAATTAGAACTGATATCTGTGTTACTAAGCAGCCCAAACATTAAATGACTTGATTCAGAAATCTGATGCAGTTCCTATCTTCAAAAACAGGGGGGATGTATTCACAAAACCACAAACCAACGAGACTGACATCAATGCCTGAGAAGATCCTGAAAAAGATAACCAAGCAACAGATCTACAAACGCCTAGAAACAAGCAAACGTATAATCAGAAGCCAACATGGGTTTGTTGAAAAAAGATCATGCCAAACAAATCTTATTTCATTCTTTGACAAAGGGACTAAATTAGTAGACCAGCAAAATGTTGTGGATACTTGAATTTCAGTAAGGCATTTGATAAAGTAGACTACAATTTACTTCTTGGTAAATGAAGAAAATGTGGGATAGATTGCATCACCATTGGATGAATTTGTAACTGTCAATGGAATTACATCTATATAAAGGAAAGTAAGCAGTGGGGTACCCAAAGGCTCTATCTTAGGCCCAGTATTCTTCAGTATCTTCATAAACAATGAGTGAATAGAAGGGGAATTCATCAAATTTGGAAATGACACTCAGCTGGCAGGAATAGCCAATACCCCAAAAGACAAATTCAAGAGACAGAAGAATCTCGAAAGATTTGAATACTGGGCCCTAATCCAACAAAATGAAAATTTAATGGAGAAAAAAGTTCAGTTTTACACTTAGCGAAGAAAAACCAAATGGCAAGGTACAGAATAGGCACAACCTAGCTCAGTAGCAGTAACTGTGAGATGGATCTTGAAGTCCTAGTGGATATGAACCAGCAATGTGATGCAGTGGCCAAAAAAGCTAATGCAATCCTAGGCTGCCTTAACAGAGGGCTAGAATCAAGATCACATGAAGTGTGAGTACCAATTTATAATGGTTTGGTAAGATCCCGCTTGGAATACTGCAACCAGTTTTGATTGCCACAATATTAAGAAGAAGGAAAAAGAGAAGAGCAGCAAGGATGATGAGAGGGTGCTGGAGGCTAAACTGTATATAGATGGGTTGCAAGAACTGGATATGTCTAGTCTAGTGAAAGAAAGAACTAGGGGTGACATGACAGCAGTCTTCCAATACTTGAGGGATCAAGAAGAAGGGAGTCAACTTATTTTGCAACGCAGCAGAAGGCAACATAAGAAGCAGTGGATGGAAACTAATGAAGGAGAGAAGCAGCCTAGAACTAGGGAGAAATTTCCTGACTCTGAGGACAATTAACCAGTGGGAGGGTTTGCCTTCAGAGGTTCCCATGGGGGCTCCATCACGGATGGCTTTTAAACACACAGGACAGACATTTGTCTGAAGTGGTTCTGGGTCTCCTGCTTGAGCAGGGTGGAGGAACAGAAGACCTGCCAAGTTCCTTCCAACCCTGTCACAAACCTCCAGTGACGGAGCCCCCACAACCTCTGGAGGGGAGCCATTCCCAAAGGATCCACCGTCGCTTGAAAGAGGCTTTTTAGATCTTCCCCTCCAGCAGAGAATCGCAGCCACCAGTTTCACAGCCTGCAGCCCCAGCGGGCTCCAATCTGGGGAGAGAAGGAACCTGCAACTGAAACGCTTCAGCCCAGTTGCTTCTCTGCTTCCAGGCCGTGGAGGGAACCGAACAGCCCGACTTGGTCCCGGCTCCCCTCCCACCTGTTGCCCCCACCTCACCCGCCAGCTGCTGCGTCGCCCCTAGGAAGACACTCGGCCGACCACCTTCCTCCCATGAGTCATCCGGAAGAGGAAGTTCCTCTGCGCTTCTCCTCTCATACCATCCTTTCTAGCAATACGGTGCTCGATGGTTTTAACTCCTTTATTCTGTATTGTGCACTTTTCAGACACAGATGTTGTCTACCTGATCGCCATCTCCAGATAAGAGGCAGAAAAACACGCTTGGCCCGTCTCTACTACGTAAAGCGTTTGCAAAATATTTTCACTGATTAAATGATATCAAGTCAATTTTGACTTCCAGCAACCGACCATTGTAACTGAACCAAGTGAAATAGTGAAATGTGAGGCTACTTAGCTTACGAAGATTAGCTTGGTGCTGAGCCCTAAAAGTTAATGAAGGTTTTACAGAATTATGCAATCAGTTTTCTTAGGGGTAACTGACTCAAAGTGATCAAAACCTCTCTACATCCCAAAACTTTATGACTGATTTCCTCTGGCTCCCAAGGATTAGGGCATGGGAATAGCATCAGGTAGACACTCTAATAAGGGAGCCAACTTCATTCCTGCTGGCCAGAGCTGCACCCCAAAGCACCCAGCCTGAAGCTTCATTCCTGTAGGATGGAAATTTTCTATTCGCTAAATGCTAAATGGTATGTGCTTCTGTAAATTGGCCTACATTAGGTCAGGAGTGGTGTTCCTTATCGGTTCGGTAACTACATTTTCCACGTAATGAAGTGAGCTCCCATTACTTGTCCCAGCTTCTGCCAACCTAGCAGTTTGAAAGCATGTAAAAATGCAAGTAGAAAAATAGGGACCACTTTAGTGGGAAGCTAACAGCGTTCTGTGTGCCTTCGGTGTTTAGTCATGCTGGCCACATAACCATGGAGACGTCTTTCGACAGCGCTGGTTCTTTGGTTTTGTAACAGATGATCCGAAAACGACAAGCACATATGTGCAAGGGGAACTTTTACCTAAGAGATGATTACATCTCTATATCCTAAACTTTTATGAGTAATTTCCTGTGGCTCCCAAGGATTTAGGATGTGGGAACATCAACAGGCCAGAGACGCCAAGGGAGCAAGCTTCATTCATGCAGGCCAGACTGCATCCAAGCATGCCCAGTGTCTATTTTATTGCTGAAGGAAGAAATTTTAAGTCTGTCAAATGTTAAATGCCATGTGCTTCTGTAAATTGTCCTGCAGAGGAGTCTCCATTAGGACAAAGCTGGAGAGAACATACGGAGCCGAGACTAGAAAAAGGAGGCTTAGAAAGAGCGGGTGACTGCCTATATATGACAAGAGAAACATAAACTCCCCAAAGTGATTTTTCAAAGGGTTGTAAAAGTATATGCAAACATACTGTATATGAAAGGTTGGCCTAGTCTTTATTTGAAATGCATACCTTTTTCAACCTAAAATGTTTGTTTTTAAACAAGTTTTATTGGTTTTTAAAGACAAACAAAAACAAACAAAACAGAAAAACACCCAGCTTTCTTTCATAAATGTACAAACAGTGTGTTGGTTGGTTTACAAATTTTTTGTGCATCCATTTCATAGTCTCAATTACAGTTACGTTGCATAATAACTCATATTATCAATCAGAAATTGAATACCCTAGTATCACTATTAATCAGTCATTTGACTATAATTTTGTTCATTGATACTTTACGAGATAACTATAATTCACTTAGTTTATTTTATAACAATTCATATAATCATCCCCAAATCTATCCTAGAAACATTTTATAGATATAATAACAAAAGAAGAAATACATCTTTATATATTCATTATTTTCTAAAATTCTAAGTATTCTATTATTATATTTTATTAGGTAACCATTGATAGAAAAGGTCCCAAATTTTATAAAATTGTTTATCTTCTTGTTCTCTAATTTCAAATGTCAATCTATTCATTTCAGCACATTCCAATATTTTCTTAATAATTTCCTCCTGTAATGGTATTTTCTCATTTTTCCGGTTTTCAGCAAATACAATCCTAGCCGCTGTTAATACATTTACAATCAAATATTTTAAATCTTTACTGTATGCATCAGGTAAAATTCCCAATAAAAAAAATCTCTGGTTTCAAGTCTATATGTTTCTTTGTCATTTTTTCCAACCACATGCATAAACCTAAAATGTTTAAAATAATGTACAAAACAAAATAATTTTACAAACAGCCTTAGACAAACACCTCTGCAATTCACAAGAGCACAATAAGTTGTGGCGGGTGGGAGGGAAGGCACAAAATACAGATTTTATTATCTTCACTCTCAAATGTAAAAAAAAGGTTAGAATTTTCCTGTGGACTTGATCACTTGGGTCTTGGCCTGACGGACCTTTCATGGCTGAGGAGGGACTGCAATTTGGGTGTCCCCACTCCTAGTCCAGCAACAGCACCTTCCCCATGCAGCCCACCAGCTCTCTAATAGGAAAGCCGTCCAGAGAGACTCCCTACTGCACATTGGTCTCCTCCCCATCAACTGCAGGAAGGAGAAGCCCGCAGGGTGGTGGTGAATGAATGTGGGTACTCCTCGCTTAGTGACCACAACCGTGACTGGCAATTCTGGCAAACCACTTTATTGCAACAGGCTTTTCACCTCACTTCCCTTCTGGTCATTAAGTGCATCAACATGGATATTAAGTGGGTCATCAAATGACTGCTACCTTTGATTTTATTTCTGTCTTCTACATGAGCTTTATCTTAAACTTGTTGGGAAGCATGCTAATGGTTATCACAGGATCGGGGTACAATGTGATGGTTGTAAATGCAAAGATTGTTTGCCAAACTGTTTTTTTATCTATCATCATAATCTTAAATGGTTGCTGAACGAGGCAATAGCTTCGTTATCCTAGCTCCCTCAACTGATCGTCATACGGTTTAGTATCCAGACCCTTTATCACCTTAGTTGCTTTTCTTTGCACTTTTTCGATAATCTAAAACATCTTTTTTGTACGGTGGTGACCAGAATTATGCAATATTCTAAGCATGGTCTCACTAGCATAGTGTAAAGCAGTACTATTAATTATTGGTGGCTTTTTTGAAACATTTTGTGTCTTCTCCATCATGGGGACCTCAACTTTCACAATGTCTGTTGAATCTGATTCATAATTCAAAGAGTCATCAGGGAAGTAAAATAGTAAGAGAACATCTGTCTGATCTTGATGAATAAAAATCATCAAGACCTGATGGATTACATCCCAGAGTTCTAAAGGAGCTGTCAGAATCACTGTACCACATCTTTCAAAAATCCTGGAACACCGGGGAACTGTCGGAGGCCTGGAAAAGAGCTCATGTGGTTCCCATCTTCAAAAAGGGGAAAAAACAGACCCAGGAAACTACAGACCAATCAGCCTAACATCAATACTTGGGAAAATACTGGAAAAGATTAAAAAGAAAACAGGTCTGCCAATATCTCAAAACGAGTAAAGTAGAAGTCAGCATGTGTTTGTTAAAAACAGATAATGCCAAATCAATCTTCATTCTTCAGCATAGTGACTGAATTAGTAGAGCAGCAAAATACTGGGGACATAATAGAGTTCAGCAAGGCACTCGACAAAGTAGACCACAACCTACTTCTTGGTAACTAGAAAAAAGTGGGATCGCATCACCACAGGTGGATTCGTAACTGGCTGACAAATTGTACCCAACAAATAGTCATTAATGGGTCTACGTCTACATGGAGGGAAGTAAGCAACAGAGTCACAGTACTCTTCAATATTTTCATAAACTATGTACTGTAGATGAGGGAATAGAAGGCGAATTTACCAAATTTGCAGATATACTAAGCTGGCAGGAATAGCTAACACCCTAAAAGATAGGCTCAAGATCCAGATGAATCTGGACAGACTTGAACACTGGGTCCTATCTAACAAAATGAAATTCAGTGTGGAGAAAAATAAATTCTTAGGCAAGAAAAACTACACATATAGACTGGATGAAACCAGGCTCAATAGCAGTTTTTGTGAAAGAGATCTTGTAGTCTTAGTGGACAACCAGAGACTCTAGAAAAAGTGCAGAGAAGAACAACCAGGATGATTAGGGGACTGGAGATTATAACATATGCAGACCGGTTACAGGAACTGGGCATGGCTAGTCTAGTGAAATGAAGGACCATGTCGTGTTTTAAAGTTCCCTGCCTGGTCCGAGGACTGAATATAATAGACCAGGGAAGACATGAAAGCAGTCTTCAAATATTTGAGGGGCTGCCACAAAGAGGAAGCGGTCCAGCTATTTTCCAAAGCACTTGTAGGCCAGACAAGGAATAATGGATGAAAACTGAACAAGGAGAGATTCAACCTGGAAATATGGAGAAATTTTCTGACAGTGGGAACGATTGGCCAATGAAAGAGCTTGCCTTTGGAAGTTGTGGGAGTTTCATCACTGAAGGATTTCAAGAAGAGATAGGACTGTCATTTGTCAGAAATGATGTAAGATCTCTTGCTTGAGTGGTGGGGTTGGACTAGATGACCTACAAGGCAGTGGTGGTATTCGGCCAGTTCGACCTGGTTCTGGCAAGCTGGTAGAAGTGATGAGCAGCTAAGATCGAACCAGTTCTCTCCGCCACTCTGCTGTTGGGCCCACCTGCCCGCCCAGGCTCACATACTCACTTTTATCAGCTGAATTTGAAGCACAGCTGCTTTGCGCGGCACAGAAGAGTGCCATGTGGCAGCTGCTGAAGTGACCAGGACCATGCAGGCTTGCAGGAGGTGAGTTAGAACGTCTCTGTGCCTACACAAACGCTTCTGTGCCTGCGCAAAGTGAGTGTTTGGCATGCACATGCACACAAAGTGTGTACATGCGCGCAAAATGCGCCCAACAAGCCATGCCCACTGAACCGGGGCAACAGTATTTGCATCCCACCACTGCTACAAGGTCCCTTCCAACTCTGTTAATCTGTCTTCAGCTCTTCAAGTCAGATAGATCCTCTGTGATAGTGTGATTTTCAAAAGCTTACAAATCCACTGGTACACGCAATGGTTGCTTTAGAGGTTGTAACATTAAAAGGGAAGCCGTAGCTTAGGTATCCAGTTTGAAACATCCTAACTTCCTTCTTTCAGACTGGCAGCGATGGAGAAAAACATCTCTGAATCTGAAAAGAATGCCAATAAAAACAGATCCAGTTTAGCCATTCTAATTTTTTAATGAAATATCATTCTTTCATAGAATGTAGGATTGGAGCAGATAGCAATGCAACAAATACATTAGGAGGCAGAAACCTAATTGCTGCTCACATCATCAGAGTCACAGAGTGCATGGACTGATGTATGACTGAAATTGAAATTCTAAATTTATAATGAGGGAAGGAAAGCTGAGGAAAACAGATTGCTCATAGAGACACAGAGTGCACAAAAGAGGGATTACAAGTTAACAATTGTAGTGCATTAGAAACTCATTGTATGTGTGAAGTCCTTATCACTGATAGAGTTGGGAAATGAACTTTACATAACATTTTATTACATTCATTTATTATTAAACTTAATTGCTGCCCATCTCAATTTGAGGCAACTCTGAGCGTCTTGCGACTGTTGCCTTGCCCTAATATTCAAAGCAACACTTCACAATACCCATTTTTTACATGCCAAATGCTTCTGATAATTCTAACATAATGCATTTTGAAAAATGAGACATTTTCTGTTGTATATTTTTCCTCATCTTAAGATAGCAAAACAGAGAGGTTCGTCCCTCTTCTGCATTATCAATGTGGACAGTGTGACAAAATGGCAGCCATTTCCCCAAGTCTACTGCATGACCCAGGGACGAATCCAAGGCCCACTAAAAATGGTGGCTGCTTCCAGGACACAGTCATGAGGCCCAAGGATGCATGTCCTTCCCTCCCTCCCCAACATGAGGATCAGAGATCTTCCAAAGGTGAAGAGGAGGAGGAGGAGGGTATGAGGCCTGGTGGGGTGGCAGTCAGGCCTGAGGACAGCAGGGACCCAGTGGGAATGGGGAAAATCCTGGGGGGGAGGCTCTGGGGAGCTGAGGGAAGGGGCAGGGATGGGAAACAGAACATAGGGTGTCTTGGAGGGTGGGGGAGCCCCAGGGATGCCTGTGGCAGGCAAGCCTGGCCTTGCTCTAGGCCTCCAAGAGTTTTCCCCACTCCTGTGGTAACCAGTACTCTGCTTAACAACTCACACATTCAATTAATGGCTGCCTCAGGGACAGCAAGGGATTCAGATAGTTAAGGAAAGCCATCTCACTTAACAGTCTTTGCAATATGCAACCGTAATTTCAAGGCCCATAATAGTTGTATCTTGAGGATTACTTTTATGCTGGCTGGGGAATTTGGGGGCTCAAAATCTAGGCAAAATCAAAGTAGAAGACTGAAACTCCACATGTGGGAATTACATAATCAACATACAAAAAATCTCCAGCCAAAATTCCTTTTTGAGGAATTCCACTACTTCTGGAAAAAGAAATATCCAAAAGCTTCTGCTGATAATCTGAAGCTAGTGGTTAGCCATTTTCCATTTCCCTTTTCTCTCCAACTAGTTTACTCCTAAGAAATGTTTGAGTAAAATGAATCAGACCAAAATTCAAACAATTGATTTATCACCTAGTTTTTTTAAAATTTACTTATATATTTTCTCTTTACATATAGTAAATGCTTAATGAACAGCATACCTCTATTATCCAACCATTGATAAAGCAAGTCCCAAATTCAAAAACATTGTTTCTTCTTTTTCTTTTATCTTCAGTGAGTCTACCAATTTCTGCATGATCTAATATTTTAATTATATCTTTTTCTATAGTTGTTTCTCATTTTTCCAGTTTTGTGCAAATACAATTTTTGCTGCTGTCAAGACATGTAACATTAAATATACATTCCCCCTCTCATATTTTTCTGGTATTATGCCTAACAAAAATAGTTCTGGCTTATAATTTATATTCTGCCTTAACATTTTTTCTAACCATGTATGCACTTTCATCCAAAAAACTTTTGCCTTTGAACACATCCACCATATGTGATGATATGTGCCCAATATTTGATTAAATTCCAACATTTGGTGGGCATATTTTTAAACATTTTTGCTAGCCATGCTTGTGGTAAGTGCCACCTATTGAACTTTTTATACAGATTTTCCTCATACGTAGTTGCCATCGTCAATTTATAGTTTCTTTCCCAGAGTTTTTGCCAATTGTTCTTTTAAAAGTCATATATCTTAACATCTTTCTCATATTTTGATTGCATTTGTATATGTGGCCACCACAATAAACACCCTGTTTCTGTAGTTCTTGTTTAGTTTCTAGTTCCCCTTCCACATTCAAAGTATCTTTATATGTTAATTTTTTTCAAGATTTATTAGATTTGGGTGAACAAATGCTTTCATTTTCAAACATAATTCAAACGATCAATTTCTCACCTACACTTTCAATGGGAGATAACAAATGAAATTCAAGTGTTCTCTAAACTCATCTATTTTTCCACATATGGATTACCTTGTGTGCAATAAGGGATCATTTATGCTTAAAATAACGTCAACAGTCTGGACATTTCAAATATTTCTCCATGGTGTGAACACTCTGGTGTCTCATAAGATGGTAATTTTGACTGAAACTTTTTCCACAGTCAGGACATTCAAAGGGCTTCTCTCCTGTGTGAGTCCTCTGGTGTTTCACCAGGTTGGAATTACCACTAAAACTTTTCCCACAGATAGGACATTCAAAGGGTTTCTCTCCTGTGTGAGTCCTCTGGTGTATCACCAGGCTGGAATTCTCACTGAAACTTTTCCCACAGTCAGGACATTCAAAGGGTTTCTCTCCTGTGTGAGTCCTCTGGTGTCTCTTGAGGCTGGAATTTGTAATGAAACATTTCCCACAATCAGGACATTCACAGGGTTTCTCTCCTGTATGAGTCCTCTGGTGTATTACCAGATGGAAATTTTGTCTGAAATATTTCCCACAATCAGGACATTCAAAGGGTCTTTCTCCTGTGTGAGTCCTCTGGTGTTTCACCAGGTTGGAATTGTCACTAAAACTTTTTTCACAGATAAGACATTCAAAGCGTTTCTCTCCTGTATGAGTCCTCTGGTGTATTACCAGATAGGAATTTTGTCCGAAACATTTCCCACAATCAGGACATTCAAAGGGTTTTTCTCCTGTGTGAGTCCTCTGGTGTTTCACAAGGTTGTAATTATCTCTAAAACTTTTCCCACAAATAGGACATTCAAAGAGTTTCTCTCCTGTATGAGTCCTCTGGCATATCACCATGTTGGAATTCTGATTGAAACTTTCCACATAGATAGGACATTCAAAGGGTTTCTCTCCTGTGTGAATACTCTCGTGTCGAACCAGGCTAGAATTATAACCAAAACTTTTCCCACAGATACGACATTCAAAGGGTTTCTCTCTTGTGTGAGTCCTCTGGTGTATCATCAGATGGGAATTTTGACTGAAACTTTTCCCACAGTCAGGACATTCAAAGGGTTTCTCTCCTGTATGAGTCCTCTGGTGTATTACCAGATGGGAATTTTGTCTGAAATATTTCCCACAATCAGGACATTCAAAGGGTTTCTCTCCTGTGTGAGTCCTCTGGTGTTTCACCAGATTGGAATTGTCACTAAAACTTTTCTCACAGATAGGACATTCAAATGGTTTCTCTCCTGTGTGAGTCCTCTGGTGTATCATCATGTTGGAATTCTGATTGAAACTTTCCACATAGATAGGATATTCAAAGGGTTTCTCTCCTGTGTGAATTCTCTGGTGTCTCACGAGATGAAAATTTCTAATGAAGTTTTTCCCAATATCTAGACACTCATACAGTATCTCCCTGGAGTCAATCCACTGATGTATCACCAGACTGGAATTTTGACAATGCCTTGTTTAGTGGTGCTTTCATTCAAGCCATTTTCTTCCTCACAGGGAGAGGCCTATATTACTGTCTGCTCCACACAGCTTTACTATTCAACTTTTCCTCCAACTGACTTCTAAATATGCTGAATGAAAAGTAATCTCCCTTGACATTTCATATAATATATCCTTGAGTTGTACATAATCTGCTTATTCTGGCTTGAATTTTTTTAAAATTTTGTCTAACAACTTCTGGAGGAGGAGGAGAATTGTATGGTTTTCTGAATGAAATGGAAACTATTTTGATTTCTGGCTTGATTTAATTCCCTTTTCAACATTGCTTGTTATTTGCAGTTGTCCCAAGTGCTCTTATTGCCATCTTTGTCTGTAAGATTCAAAGAAAAGTGTAACATTAATTGTTTATTAAAAGTTTTGAGATGATGTGAAAAAAGAAAAAATTACAATGAAAAAGCAAACATGCCCCAATACTAGAATAAACTCTTACTTACCTTGTTTATGATTCATTTGACACATGGAAGACTACTGAAGTGGTATTGATGTTCAAATATGCATTCAATCAAATTCAATTTTTAATTGGGTTAATCACAAATTCTTAGCAACCAAAGGACTATCATCAATTATAATTTGAAATGCTGGGGATAGATTATTTAATTGCAGACATATCCCTACAGAGAGAAAAACAGATATTCCCTACCTACACTATTCATGGAGAAAATCTATGTCTTTCAAAGCTGACAATATATGCCAAAATGGTTATAGTCAAAGCTTCTGAGCTAAATTTAGCGATGTGGGGGCTTTAACTGATGAAATTGTGAGAAGTGAAAATTATAACCCTAAAAAATTCAGTAAAAAATTAATACTGGAACTCCAGGTACACTGGATAAAATGTTTGCCTTTAGCTCTTTTGCAGATTAGAACGAGCCCTAGAAAGGAAGGTATTTCACCATATGAAATGATGTTTGGCTTACCTTATCCTGGAATTATGGGAATACCTAGGATGGAGTTTAAAGATGTCTTCCTTAGAAAATATATACAAGGACTGTCCCAGTGTTTTTCTCTTTTAAGGTCTAAAGGACTACTATCTTAAACCCTACTTTTCAAATTTGCAGTCCATAGTTCCAGCCTAGTGATTGGGTCCTAATAAAAGGCTGATATGAAGAAAAACTTTGTCACGTCCTGCTGACCACTGAGCAAGAGCAGTCTGGAGCAAGAGCAGTCTGGACAAACAATAAATGGTGGACCCACTACACATGTGTAAAAGGACCAGTTAATGAACTTAAAGAGTAGAAAGAGGAGAAATTACAACCTGTCTGGAAAGGGCCATACCAGGTGCTGGTGACCACTGAGTTGGCCGTGAAGTCCAGAGAGAAAGGTTATAGATAACAGATAATCAGAGTTGGAAGGGACCGTATAGGTCATCTAGTCCAACCCCCCGCAGAAGCGGGAGACCCTACACCATTTCTGACAAATAATTTCTGACAAATAGGTTGAACACACTATTCTAAAGTTGAGGGACCAGTGGACTCACCTTCTGGATGGACAGTGAAACGAGACACATCGAACCCTTTCGTTTAACATTGAAAAAAAATACACTTAGTTTATGGAAAAAGTGGACGATTGGGTTTCTCATTTGGCTGGGGGTAATAAACGTTTGTATAGTGTTGTTGATCATCTTGAGTAGGGAGATAGTTTGGAAGGTGGATATAAGTCCCCAATGACCAGCTGGAAGTTTTAAAATCTAAGAAAAATAAACAAACACAATTACGCCAGGTAGGGCGGGCCCAGTACACTAGAAATATGAAGCTCATAGTGGTGGTGGTAGTTGCCTTGTGGGAAGCCATGCAATATGTGAAGGTAGGAATGGAAACTTTTGATGCATTGCCTCATTATCCTATAACATGGCAGCAGCTATGTTTACATACTGGACATGAGAGTAAGTATTCCCAGGTAGAGACACCACTGAAACTGACTGAAGCTACCTTGGGAGCTGGAATCTGTATTAGATCCACCTTGAGTGATGGGATACCGTTAGGTTAAATACCCAAGGTATAATCGTACATATGATGTAGGTATAAACCATAGGGATGTATCAAGTAGAATGGAGTTTCTGTATAATCAATGTGCTGAACTTTATGGAAATTATTCACCATCCTCTAAAAAATTTAGAATCCTGGAAGAAGGGCTACTTTTACCATATACTGGACTGAAGAGTGCACCGTCAAACCTTATCTTTTGCATAACATCACTACACACTTAACACATACTGATGAGTCGACCTTTAAGAGGTTGTGGTTCTATTGACCTCATGGCTACCAAAATTTTGCCTGGCTAAAGGACCAATTTTAATACATAATCACTATTATTGTTATAGGATTTATATCGTGTATTCATGTAATTTGTATGCAATGTTTGCCTCTATGTGGTAACAGCTGTAATATTGCTATCAAGTAACTAAGCCAAAGATACTAGGGCGAAAAGGCAAATGATTAAGCCAATGAGAGGTGAGAATTATGTCGCAGGATTAAGATGGAGGTTTACAGAATAAAGGATAAAATCGAAAAGGTCAGATTGTGAGAAGTGAAAATGATTCCTGTAAAGAAAAAAGCAAAAGTATTGACATATTTCTCTTCTGTATAACCTGAGAAGCCCCTGATCAAATATTAACTAAGAAACTGCTAACAAGGCAAAATCCATTAAGAATAGTCCATATGAGGACAGTTGTCATGACAACCCAGGACATTAGCTGTCCAGATATTCCCAGAAAAGGGTGTCTTGGAAGCGGGGGGAGCCCCAGGGATGCCTCTGGCAGGCAAGCCTGGCCCTGCTCTAGGACTCCAAGAGCTTTCCTCAGTCCTGAGGTAGCCAGTACTTTGCTTAGCAACTTGCACATTTGATTAATGGCTGCCTCAGGGACAGCAAGAGATTCAGGTAGTTAAGGAAAGCCGTCTCACTTAACAGTCTTTGCAATATGCAACCATAATTGCAAGGCCCATAATAGTTGTATCTTGAGGATTACTTTTATGCTGGCTGGGGAATTTGGGGGCTCAAAATCTGGGCGAAATCAAGGTAGAAGACTGAAACTCCACATGTGGGAATTTCATAATCAACATACAAAAAAGCTCCAGCCAAAATTCCTTTTTGAGGAATTCCACTACTTCTGGAAAAGGAAATATCCAGAAGCTTCTGCTGATAACCAGAAA